AAACCCACTAGCTGCTCCATGGAAGAAAGATGAGGTGGTCTGCTTCTGTAAAGATTGGAAACCCAATGATGGTTGCTATAGGAGTTGGAATCAACTCAACAGCAGTGGGTTTGGGATTTTTTGGGTTTGTTTTTTTAAAAAACACACTACTCACTGAACTAAGACACTGAACATATATTTTATGTAACTGTGCTACACCAACTGACCAAAGTGTCCCATGAGCATATGGTCCAAAGCCTTAAAACCCAGAAAACCAATCCTGTGACGTGCTTGGTTATGACTAAGCCTGTAACTGTGCCTCCTGCATGCATTACTGTATATATGAGCATATACACAGTCACTCACATGCATGCAGTAGTTAGGGTTATGTGTCAACTTGGCTGGGCCTGGCTGAGTGGCTGGGCGGCTGGAAGTAGTTACTCTCCATGGTGAGATAGGTAATTAACTCCATGGTGGAATCTACTGGAGCAGCTGAGTAGATTCTTTAGGGATGTGGGCTGCTTCCAGGATGTAAGAAGCAACTTGAGGAAGGTCTCCAGCTTATGGAACACTTGAACCCTTGCATGTAGCCAAGTCGTTGTTCAGCAGCCTGCCATGTTGCCCTGCCAATCTTGGGACTTTTTCAGGACTGAAATCAATGGCCTGCCATGTGGTTTGGTACTATTGGGACTGTGTCATTTTATTTGTCGACCTTGGGCTTGTCAGCCTCAGCAGCCAGCAGCTGCCTGAGTGAAGAAAAGCCCTTAGCTTCAGTGGGCCAGAAGCAAGAGGCAGAGCTGAAGCCCAAGGTCAAGGGGCTTTCGCCCAACCCCTAGAGCCTGGCACTTGGAACCTGAACTTCTTGCCTCCAAAACTGTAATCTCCTGTTTGTTAAAGCATCCCATTTGTGGTATTTCTGTTAGAGTGGCACTAGTTAACCAAAACAACGCATATATAGATGTCTACATACACCTACATATACACACCTAAGCATGCATAAATACATGCATACATAAACCAAAAAAACCCAACTCACTGTCGTCAAGTCGATTCAACACATAGCAACCCCTGTTGGGTTTCCAGGGCGGTATCTCTATGGAGGCAGACTGCCCCAACTTCCTTCCAAGGAGTGGCTAGTGGGTTTGAACCACCATCCTTCTGGTTAGCAGTCAAATGCCTTAGGCACTGCACCACCAGAGCTCCCACACATTCATATACATATGCATATGCCCACACATACATTTTTTGGTTATTGTTGCTGTTTCAAAACTATATATGCTGTAGCAATATTATTTTTGCTATAGCAAAATATACTGAAAGATAAATTTTTCTTGGGTATCTTTTAGTGACATTGTTTACCTTCGTCAAGCTGTGCACACTTCACCCTCATTCAGTGTTATCTTCCCCATCACCAAAAATACCAAGTGTTTACTATCTAGAGAGTGAATACCCATCTCCTCCCCTCCACCTCCGTTGTTAGGTGCTGCTGAGTTGGCTGTGACTCACAGTGACCCTACGTACAACAGAACTAAACACTGTCCAGTCCTATGCCAGCCTCATGATCCCCTCTATACCTGAGCCCATCATTGCAGCCAGTGTCGATTCATGTCGTTGAGGGCCAGAAGAATGAACAAATCTGTCCTGGAAGAAGTGCAACCAGAATGCTCCTTGGAAGCGAGAATGGCCAGACTTCATCTCACCTACTTTGGCCTTGTTGTCAGAAGGGACCACTCCCTAGAGAAAGACATCATGCTAGGTACAGTAGAGGGTCAACAAAAAAGGGGAAGATCCTCAGTAAAGTAGAGGGTCAAAGAGAAAGGGGAAGACCCTCAACAAGATGGACTGACAAAGAGGCTGCAACCATGGGCTCAAGTGTAGCAAGGATTACGAGGCTGGCACATGACCAGGCTGTGTTTTGTTCTGTTGTACACAGGGATGCTATGAGTTGGAGCTGACTTGACAGCACCTAACATGGCGTAGTGCCTAAGGCATGTGACTGCTCACCAGAAGGCTGGCAGTTCAAACCCAACAGCCACTCCTTGGAAGGAAGGTTGGGCAATCTACTTCTGTAGTGATACGACCTTGGAAACCCAAAGAAGGGTCGCTATGAGTCAGGTCTGACTCAATGGCACATAACAACAACAACAAAATTTGCTTCCAGGAATTTTATTGTCATAGATTTAATATTTAGGACCTTGATCCACTTTGACTTCATTTTTGTGTGGTGCGACGTATGGGATCTAGCTTCATTTTTCTGTGTGTGGAACTCCAATTTGGCTAGACCAGTTTGTTGAGGAGACTGTTCGTTTCTCACTGAATGGACTTACCACCCTGTTGAAGATCAGCTGGCCAAAGACGCCTGGGTTTATCTCTGGGTTCTCAGTGCCGTGCCATTGGTCTGTCTATTGTGAAACCACTACCGGCTGTTTGGGTTGCTGTGGCTATACAGTAGGTTTAGAGAGTGGCAGCGTGAGGACTCCTACTATGCTCTTCTTCAAGATTGTTTTGGCCATTCAGGGCTCTTGCCCTTCTATAGAAAGTTGAGGATTAGTTTCTCTATTTCTGTAAAACTTCTGTTGACAATGTGATCGGGATTGCATTGAAGCTCTAAATCACTATGGGTAGTACTGACATTTTTACAATATTAAGTCCTCCAATTCCTAAGAACAGCATAACTTTCCTTTTTAAGTAGGTCTGTTTTCGTCTCTTCCATGTATGTTTTATAGTTTTCACTGTGTCAGTCCTCTATGCCCTAGTCAGGGTCATTCCTGTTGTTGTTGTTATGTACTGTCAAGTTGGACTCGACTCACAGCGACCCCTCCTTGGGTTTCTGAGGCAGTATCACTACAGAATTAGATTGCCCAACCTTCCTTCCAAGGAATGGCTGTTGGCTTTGAACTGCCAGCCTTCTGGTTAGCAGTCAAGTGCCTTAGGCAGTACAATACCAGAGCTCTTAGGTTCATTCCTAGGTATTTTATTCTTTTAGATATCACTGTTAATGAAATTGTTTTCCTAGTTCCCTTTTTCAGATGGTACCCATGGCCATGTTCAAAGACAGGCTAAAGAATTCTAAGTCTCTTCAATCACTGAGAAATTATGTTTCACACTGGTTAAGGCACTCAGCTAACCACAAAGTTGGCAGTTCAAACCCACCAGCAGCTCTGTGGGAGAAAGCTGTGGCAGTCTGCTTCCGTAAAGACCGACAGCCTTGGAGACTGTCAACCCAAAAAGACCCTGTGGTGCAGTTCCACTCTGTCCTCTAGGGGCGCTGTGGGTGAGAATCCACTCCAGAGCAGTGGGTGTGGTTTGGGCTTTGCTTCTGTGAAGACTGACAGTCTTGGAGACCCTGTGAGCAGTTCCACTCTGTCCTCTAGGGGCGCTGTGGGTCAGAATGGACTCCACGGCAGTGGGTGTGGTTTGGGCTCCGCTTCCGTGAAGACTGACAGCCTTGGAGACCCTGGGGGCAGTTCCACTCTGTCCTCTAGGGGCGCTGTGAGTCAGAATCCACTCCAGAGCAGTGGGTGTGGTTTGGGCTTTGCTTCTGTCAAGATTGACAACCTTGGAGACCCTGTGAGGAAGTTCCACTCTGTCCTGTAGGGACACTGTGAGTCAGAATGGACTCCACAGCAGTGGGTGTGGTTGGGGCTCTGCGTCCATAAAGATTGATAGCCTTGAAGACCCTGTGGTGCAGTTCTAGTCTGTGCTCTAGGGGCGCTGTGGGTCGGAATCGACTCCACGCAGTGGATGTGGTTTGGGCTTTGCTTCCATAAAGATTGACAGCCTTGGAGGCCCTCTGGGGCAGTTCCACTCTGTCTTCTAGGGGTGCTGTGGGCCAGAATCTACTCAATGGCAGTGGGTTTGACTTGTAGTTTGGGAGTTAATATAATTTTTAAAACAAACCCATAAACTTAAGCTCTACCAAAACAACCTCAAGTTCTATGTGGGAAAATGTGTGTTATTTTACAACTGTAGTGTGAAATCTGAGTGTTTAGTCTCTAGAGCAGAATCCCTGTTTAAAACACGTAATCCATTTATTTCCCCATTTAAAATGTAATAATTAAGGTGCTGGCACTGTTCTGGGTTTTGGAATTTGAGTAGCAAAAATGACATGAAATTGTGTTCAATCAGACCACATTTCAGTGGTGTTACAAAGCAGATGTAAGTAAAAAGGAAATAAACAGATGTGTCTTTCAGGTGGTTGTTAAGAAAAATGAAAGAGGACAGAGACGGAAGTGTCATATGGGAAGCTGCTCTAAATCTTTTGTTGAAGAGGTAGGTAGGTAGTTACAGACAGGCAGGTAAGTAGGCATATAGAGACAGGCAGGTAGGAAGGTAGGAATATATAGACAGGCAGGTAGGAAGGTAGGTAGGTAGATACAGAGAGGTACATAGGTAGGTGGATACAGACAGGCAGGTAAGCAGATACAGACAGACAGACAAGCAGGTAGGTAGGTAGGTAGGCAGATACAGAGAGACAGGAAGGTAGGTAGGTACAGACAGGCAGGTAGGTAGGTAGGTAAGTACAGACAGACAGGTAGGTAGGTAGGTACAGACAGGCAGGTAGGTAGGCAGGTAGATACAGACAGGCAGGCAGGTAGGTAGGTACAGATAGGCAGGTAAGTAGGTAGGTACAGACAGGCAGGTAGGTAGGTAGGCAGATACAGACAGGCAGGTAGGTAGGTAGGCAGGTAGATACAGACAGGCAGGTAGGCAGGTAGGTACAGACAGGTAGGTAGGTAGGCAGGTAGATACAGACAGGCAGGCAGGTAGGTAGGTAGATACAGACAGGCAGGTAGGCAGGTAGGTACAGACAGGCAAGTAGGTAGGCAGGTAGATACAGACAGGCAGGTAGGTAGGTAGGCAGGTAGATACAGACAGGCAGGCAGGTAGGTAGGTATAGACAGACAGGCAGGCAGGTAGGTACAGACAGGCAGGCAGGTAGGCAGGTAGATACAGACAGACAGACAGGCAGGCAGAGAGAGATGGCACACAGACAGATAGATAGATTTTGAGACGCTCACCCACAAACACCAAGTGGTCGATGGTCTCCATCATCACGTCTCTGAACAGCTTTCTCTGGGATGTGTCCAGCAGGGCCCACTCTTCCTGGGTGAAGTCTACAGCTACATCCCTGAAGGTCACTGACTCCTAAAACATCGTGAATAGTCCGGGTTAGATAGGTATCCCTTTCAGTATCCCAGTAGGGTGGTTGAGACATCAGTACTGAAGAAGTGAGGACTATCTGCATAGAAAGCTCCAACTGTGTCTGGGGGTCCGGTCGGATCATTCTCAGTCCTCAGCTGGCATCTGCCTTTCAGATACACTAACGAGACAGAAACACTCTGGAACCATAAAATGCCATGAAAAACAAGCATCAATGAGGTGTAGTAAGATGCAACCCGGAAAACTTCCAGGAAGTTTAAAACTACGTCATCCAGAACAAAAATTACAAAATGTGTACCTGAGAATTCACACTTAAAACTCTCCTGTGCCCACTCCAACTTAATCTGCAGATTTATCACAAGACAAGGAATATCCATGAACTAGCACTTTTAACCACATTGATGGCAGACCACTGCCTTAAAGGACTTCTGTTTCCTTGTCTGTAAAATGGTTGAACAGCCAGGTACAAGTCCTTAAAGAGCCTGCGTGCTAGCGTGTGAAGTGCCTCCCACGTAGCACACACTACCACACGCAAGCCCTCGGTCTATGACCATTAAAGTCACAGTCCCCAAGCAGGGCTCAGTGTTCTGCCGACCTGCACACGTTCTGTACAGAACGTGGGACAAGGAAGCGCGTCCTCCCTCAACTCCACACAACTCAGGGGTTCACTGTAGCGCACAAGGACAGACGGCTCAGAAGCACAAGCCAGGGGCCGCGGAGACCTGGCAGAGCTCAGGTCCTTGAGCAGCTCGTGAGGGCACCTGGAAGAGTCAAGCCAGAAGGAGAGACCTGCCCCTCTGCTGCAACAGAGGGGCAAGTTCAGGAGAAAGAGGAATTCCCTACTCACCAGTGGCTGCATTGTGAACAGCTCCGCTGCCAGTGGTCTTCCTCGGGGTTTTCACTCAGACAGTCCAAGCACTAAGCAGGCTGAGCTGAGAGTGGACAAAGCAGCCGTGAGATTCCAGTCTAATGCGCCATAAGCAGGTGTACCATCACAAGGCCCCAGACTTCACTGGCGAGTAACCCCCAGTCCACACAGCACCATGTAGTGAACACTGAGAGGGCCACGGAAGGGATGCTCTTGTCCCTGGTCAAAGAAGAGGGCGCACTCATCACTGCTGATAAAGTGGACAGGAACACAGGGATGCCACCAGGAGACCAGGAACCCCGTGGAGCTGTGTAATCGCCCTATGGGCTTCCGAGGTTTGCACTGCCCTCCCTCATTCGAAAACCGCTCAGGCCACATGCAGGTGTGGGGCTCCACCTCCAGATAAACAGCATGGAATCTCTCCGATGTGACTACCCCGGGTTTACGCACCAGTGGAGGCTCTCCACCGTCCATCCCCGCTCTCTGGAGCCTCACACCATCCCCCTCTTCCTTGCTCATCTCTCTGGATGTACTTGCCCTGAACTCTGGCTCCTCCCACATGGCGTTTCTAGATTGCTCCCTCAAAACCCTGACTTGTAGATCTGGCCCCCACAGTTGTCATTATAAACCCACAATGTGAGAATCTATTTTACGATAGTGTTGGTCAACCATGATGTGCAGAGAGCAATTTGGCCTTGTGTTGTGGGTTCCTGAGAGCCAGTCCCCTGGGTGCTGATAGGGCCTAAGCCTCACTGGATGCAATGTGCCAGATGGTGTCCACGTGCAGAAGACTATAAAGCCTTTGGACAGGGGCTCAGGGGAGTTTCGGGGTCAGAGAGACCATCTGTCTTCCAGAGGGTAAGCATGTCCTCTGGGGGCAAGGAAGCTCAGCACAGGGACCCCTTCCGGACCTTGGCTTTGCATCTCATTTATACCCTTTTCCCCTCTTTTCCTGCTAAAGACAGCCCTTTCCCTGCCTTCTGTGAGCTGTTACAATGAATTACCAAATCCACAGGGGCACTGATACTGATGGCCACAGGGGCTTGCATCTGCCTGTCCGGCAGTCTGAAGGACCGTGTCCTTTTACCTGCTGGGTAGTCTGACCTAGCCCCCGGGTGGCTGGGGATGAGAGAGAGAAGGGGCCGACTGGTCTAAAGTGGAAGGAATCAAGTAGTTTCCTAGCTTCCGCCCCAACCTGGCCAAGTGGTGATGAGAAAAAGGACTGTGTGAGAGAAGGCAATATGTGGTAATTAGGAAGGGCAGCCTCGACCATTAAGAACTAGATGGCAGTGGTCTGGCATAGTGTGTGGGTAGTGCAAGGCGGGATGAAGCTTGTCAGAGGGGAACAGAAAGAAGGAACAAAGCCAGATGCTCTATGTCTAAGCCCATGAGCTACTGAGCATGATGACCTATCAGGCTTTTTCTAGCTCCCGTGGGCTGGGAGCAGGAGGCAGAGCTGGATCCCAAGGTGGAGGGGCTTTCACCCAGCCTGGCACTTTGAACTTGGACTTAGAGCCTCCAAATTGTAAGAAGAAACTCCTGTTTGTGAAGGCCATCCCACTTGTGGTATATTCCTGTCACAGTGGCACTAGGGAACCAGAACACTGACCTGACTGCATTTAAAATCTAGTAAACAAATGAGGATCAAATTATTATTATTTTAACGGCATCAAGTCAATTCCAACTCAAGGCGACCCTCTGGAGCAGGTCAGAACTGCCCCATGGGGTTTCCTAGGCTTTCATCTTTATGGGAGCAGATAGCAAGGTCTTTTCTCCCACGATTAAATCATACATCATGTTAAGAGATTGGCAAACAACAAATGACCCAGGACACCATTAATAGACTGCTGGGCAGGTGTTAACAGCTAGCTTTAAGGCTGGGCAGCATGTCATTATCAAGTAAAGCCATACTCTGGTTAATCAAAGTTTTCAGGGTATGAACATAACTCCATCAGGAACTCTGAACAAAATATTTGATTATGTGAGAATACGTGAATCTTACGACACAGAAGCGTGTGCTCAGACATCAGAGTGGAAATAGGAACCTTAGTGGAACCATTACAAGGTCAGTGAGTCATGGTTGTAAACCTCTGGAGTCTTGAAAACAGGGCATGTTTGTTGATCTTTGTTTTCTAAAAGAGTACGTTTGAAGTGTCTAGTGGGCCTGGACACCTAAACACGACTATAGGAAACTACACACTTCTAAGATTACAGCACAAGGCATTGAAAACTACATACATAGTCCTGATTGCACCGTACACAGGTCTCTAACATTCAGTAACACGACCTTTAGAGTCGTGGCTAAGAACACCTAAAACCTGATGTTTTATTTCACAAAAGGAATCTAAAGACAGGATGTTAGCAGACAACTAAAGATGACGTATGACCAGGGATAGTGGTGAGAAGGCCTGAGCGAGGAAGCTTTAGTTTAAATTTGTCAGCAGGATAATAAACAGGAATTAGCCTAGAAGTCAGTGCTAGGTATTCAGAGGCCTACAGGGTGAAGAGTAAGAACATTCCCCATACAGGGAACAGTGCTCAATGATTACCTGATTAACTGATGATTCTGGTAGCGCAGTGGTTAAAGCACTGCGCTGCTAACCAGAAAGCAGGGTGAACCCAGCAGCCGCTCTGCAGGAGAAAGATGAGGCAGTCTATTTCTGTAAAGGCTGACAGCCTTAGAAACCCTCTAGGGCAGACCGACAGGTCACCAGGCATTGGAATGGACCCAATGGCGGTGGGTTTTCTGGTTGACCCTGGGAGAGGAAGATGTCGATGCTGGAACTGCTCCGAGTTTTGAGCCCCTGGGTGACAGTGAAGGCTGCCCTGTATGACCTGGGTACTACCGAAGAGCAGTTTTGCCAAAACTCCATCTCAGTAGCAGAGGACGATCTCAGCTATTACGTGAGATTTCAAGTTCAAGTCTGGGGCTCAGATGGGAGATCTGGACGACAGAGGGGTATTTCACGGACAGACAGATGATCAACGAACTCGGAGGACTTGGCCTAGATAGTGAGGCTCATGAAGCCATTTTAATTTTCCTGGAACCTAGATCTCTGCCTTTCATGGAAGCTGGGATAACCCACACAGGCCACTGCCCTTCGATGTCATTTTGTAGCTCAAGCCTTGAAAAAACTGGTCCCTCAAAGTCACTTCTGAGTCAAACAATGGTCTGAATAAACTCAGAAGGACGTTTTGCCTTGGACATTGTACTCTTTTGAAAAATTCGATCAGTTTTCAGAAACAGACTCCAAAAGTCAGCCTGGGAGTTGCTTCGGGTACAGCGGGAATTGTGTTTATGGTTCCATGAAAACCCTTCCTGGCCAAAAGTTAATCTATTCTCTTCCAGACCTTTCTCCATGGCAATGCCAACGAAATCTCACATAAGAGCGATCCGAGGTTCCCCAATCATGAGAGAAAGAAGGGCGGCTTATGCACGGGAAGACAGCTCAGGGGGCAGGGGTACATGGAGGGATGGACAAAGGAAAGGGGTAACTACGGGGAGGAAGTGGGAGGGGAGCTGTTGCATTGTGGTAAATTGTGGTCAATGTCGAGACAGTGTATGTGAACTGCTGTATGGAAAGTGAATTTGCTCTGTAAACTTGCACCCATATCACAATAAAAAAAGAAAAGAAAGAGTGATCCGAGGTTCTCGGGTATAGCAAGGATAGCAAGGCTGGCACAGGAACCGGGAGGTGCTTCATTCTGTTGGACAAGGGGTCACTAGGAGTCAGAGGCACTCGATGGCAACAACAGTCAAGATGGTACCCCGATTTGCAAGTTCTATGTTAAATATCCTCCATCAATCCGTTATCCCTCGATATGACTCTGGCTCTAACGGTGGGAAAAGCTACCAGAAGGAAAAGCTGAGCAGTGAGGATCTCCCACATTTAACGAAGAAGAGCACGAACATGCCAAGAACAAGGGGCCAGAGAAATGAGGGGAAGTCCCAGGAGTGCTGTGACCTAGGACCCTGGGGAGGCAGCTTCCAGAACGAGGGAGTCACGGAGCTGAGCAGGAATTGGAGGCATAAAGCAGCCATCCTAGGTCCAGTGATTCTTAGAAACCTGACCATCAAGCACTGACAAGCCTGAGTGGAGAGAGCATGACCCCTTGTGCAGTGTGCAGAGGTGGGGCAGGAGTGGACACAGTAAACAACGATCTTGAAGAAACCTGGGCAATGCTCAACAGATGAAGAAAATGGGCCAATGAAAAATGGAGACAATCAAGTTTACAGATTTTAATTGCTTAAAAATATCTGACCACTGACAGGACTTTGGAGTGGGAAGGGAGCAAAGCCAGCTCCTCTTATTCTTTGGAGAACTCATCAAAACCCCAACATTGCAGGACAACCGGAGGCCAACAGATCCTGAGGCAGGCTCTCAGGAAAGCAGCACCCTGATCTTCTCCCAAAGTCCTGCACTGTCCAGCTTCTTTTTTTCTGGGAAACAGGACTGCTATTTGGTCTTGCTTGTGGTGCAGTGGTTAAAGCATTCAGATGCTAACCAAAAGGTCAGCGGTTCAAACCCAACAACCACTCAACCGAAGACAGATGTGGCAGTCTGCTTCGGTAAAGATTTACAGCCTTGGAAAGCCTATGGGGAAGTTCTACTCTGTCCTACAGGGTCATTAGGAGTCAGAATCAACTTGTTGCCAGTGCGTTGGTTTGGTTTTGGTTTTATAGAGAGAAAAACAGTTAACAAACCTAATTAATGCTACATTTCAAGCACCACACCCTGATTTCACAGACCCTAAACCTAGTCACTGGTAGTGTAGTGCCTAAGGCACTTGACTGCTAACCAGAAGGCTGGCGGTTCAAACCCACCAGCCACTCCTCGGAAGGAAGATGGGCAATCTACTTCCATAGTGATAATGCCTCAGAAACCCAAGGAGGGGTCGCTATGAGTCGGGTCTGACTCGATGGCACATAACAACAACAACAAACCTAGTCAGAGCATCTCATTCTACGGGATGCCTGTTTCACCTGGATTGGATTTACAAGACAATTACAAAGTTAAACCTGCTAAGATGTTGGAGAACAAAGAGATTAATCACTGTCAAAGGATCACTAGGAAACAGTTTTAGTCATTCAATAAATGTTTTTCAGTGTGTTCTGTGTCCTGGACATACATCAGGCAACCAGACACACAGGGTCTCCATGGAAAAAGAACTGGGATTCCCTGGAGGAATCAGGAATCAAACTTAAAAGGGAGAAGAAGAGATATGGAAAGCTGCAATAAACAAAATAAGGCAAGTCAGTGGATGGAGGACGGAGGGGAGCCGAGAGACACCGGCCACACAGTGCTCTCCGAACATGTCAAGGCTGACGTTAACTATCCCAAGAAAACAGGAAGCCAAGTTAAACCTCCGTTTTCTTTTCTGCAGAAGGAAAGCCTAAGTGTCCATCAGGGTCTAGCACATGACTTCACTGCCTTTCCACTCAGAACCGAAGCTGACCTCTGACAGGAATTCGA